CAAAAGGATTCAATTTTTTTCATTCGGATAATGTAAATAAATCCAACTGTTAAGTGTTTCAATTGACGTCAACAAAGCAACTTTACTAATTGTCAAGTAAAAAAATACATGAAATATTGTGTAGATGACTTTTAGTTGTCGTTTGACAGAATGACTTGAAAAAATTCAAATAAATCTGCTGAATGATACTATATGGATGACATTGAGAGAAATTTCTCAACCAGTCAATTTGAAAGTTAGCAATTACAATGTTTCGAAGACTCAGATGTGGAACACTGATTTTTGTTGAAAACTTGCCGACTGGGTAACTAAAGGCTTTCAGATACGCGTTTTAGTTATCAAGCACTAGTTCCAGTATTCAAAGTAGCTAGTCCAGAAAGTTTTCTATATGTACATCAATGTAGTATCATTTAGAAGATTTGTTTGGATTTTTTCAAGTCATTCTGTCAAATGATAACTAAAAATCATCTACACAATATTTCATATGTGGTTTCTTTACTTGATAACTAGTGAAGTTGTTTTGTTGACGTCAACTGAAATACTTAACAGTTTGATTTACTTACATTATTCAAACGGAAAAAAATTGAGGAGAGTTCTATTACCAACCAAAAAATGAGCCCATTTGCATGAACAGAAGTAGAGCCATTTAAATTTCTTAGTGTCATGTCATTATAAGTAAGTCACCCTGTATTTAAATTATGCCTTTTCATCGCAGGAAATATAATAGTATTTATGAAAAGTTACTAAAAATTTCATGAATAAATGACTTCTGACGACAGACTTTAGACGGGGCGGGGCGGTGACGGTTTTATTGTTGAATAGGCGGGACGGTGACGGTGCGAAACTTTATCAACGGGGCGGGACGGGGCGGTGGCGGTGTGACTTTTTGGCTGGCTCGTTCATCTCTGATTGACATATGCATTATTGAAGAAAGTTCACTTGATGACTCAATCATGATATTAAAAAAGAAACGGGATAAAGAAATATAAAAGATTAACATTGTTTTGTTTAATTTTGTATTTTTTATTTTCAGAAATGCTTGAAGAAAAATTGGCTCCGCACAAAGAAAATATTTAATTTTTTTAAATTTTTATTATTTTTTTAAAATAAAAATATGTCATGAATGTGGTCATCATCAAGCAGACGCAAAGGATTTCAATACATATATCATTAATTGATAGGAAGACAGCTGTATTATTATCGAATGGGTTAGTTTGCCTAATGCGAAAAGTAGAATGCATGAAGAAGAGAATTTTTTTCTTCTATTTGGTATGCACTAACATTGCGAATGCTGATGGAAGAATTAGATGACGTCGAAGGATTGATAGTTATTTGAAAGAGAATACCTTTCAAATTAGGATTGTATTTATTACTCTTGGCAAAGGCAAGTGATACTGCTCGATTGAAACTTGTCGACAATAAGTTATTAAACTATATTAAGCCATTTTGTATTTTCATTAGCGAATGAAAATCTATTTGAGGCAAATCTTGCCTACGATATACATTTGATGAATTCGAATGAAAATGTTCACCTTATTGTTTGGAACAAAGTGTGACGATATGTTGATAAAGGTCTCGAAGGAAGAAGCCCATTTGAGAAATGAGATTAACTTTTCTAAGACGTAATACTCTATTAACCATGGAATAAATGAAATATATATATATATATACTATCAAACTAGTTAATGAGACCGATATTCTTTTTCCACATTATCGACTTTTTCTAATACGACATTGCCATTGATGAATATTTGACTACAGTACATAAAAAACTCGTCAAAATGTTCTTGTTGAAAATCAATGCTAAATAAAATTTCCTTAACCCTTTCGAGGCAATGTTGCCCACCGGTGGGCGACGCTATAGTTTAACGAGAAACTGTATAGAAAAGCACTTACTTTTGCTTTTTTTCTTAGGCAGGAGATTAAACACAATGTGAATTCTGCTCTGCCCTGGATATGTTTTTGATTCTTTTATTCTATAGCATGATACTTCTTATTAAAACAACCAAGATAAAAGAATTAATTACAGTCAGAACAAAAGATTTTTATTTTCTTTGCTGCCGCATAGCTCTTTTCTCTCGATTGCGGTTCCTTTCCTTTCTCATAGCAGTGTACAGTGTCTGCGAACATTGCGCGCAGATTCTTCTTTTACTGCAAGCTTATGATCAGCTAGTTTACACTTCGAATTACTTGTTGATTGTTGCTTCATACCAAGTTTCAGCATCTCGAATGACGTACTAAGACGTAACGATTGTACAAGATTCACAAAACTGTAGCATGGTCACATGGCTTGTATCATAATTTTCCTTGTAAATCAAGTAGGCGTTAACTATTGCCGTTCCAAATATCAATTCAGATGTCACCTATTGATATCATTTCATGGATCGCCTGAGGCATGTATAGTATCCTGATAGCTAATCAGATAAATGTATACCATGTTTTCCTCCATTGGAGAATGCTCAATGATGAAAATAAGAAGAATATGTCTTCTAATTGCACCTATAGGAGATGTAGATCATAACAGAAAGAATCAAAGATGATGCTTCGAAAAGAAAACAAAAATAGATTGACATTTTGTTTCTCTATATTGTTCCTGGTGCAAATACATATGAGAGAAAGAGAAAAGCAAACTTGAGTAACTATTCAGTTCTACGTAGAACAAGACCGCTGTGTAATGGCACAAACAAGAAAAAGAGAAATGAATGGCTGTATATACTGAAAAGTCCAACGAGTGCATTTATCGAGAGTGAATAGACATGAAGATGAATGTGTTAAAGTTATTTTCTATGAAAACCGAATCGTCTCGAAAGGGTTAAGAATCAGTGTATAGATGAAGGGTTGATCAAGTTGATCCAAATTTACATTCGGATCGCTATCAGTTGTCTTAATGAAGTTGATGAACATCGAGTTTTAATCGCAAATTTTGACAGTCTATTTTTAAGTGCCTCAGAAATAGGTATGATACTTGTGAAAATACCTTTCATCTTGGACCATTGTTGTGTTCATTCTTCATGTTTACTTATATCCCCACAAGAAAAAAAATATAAACACAACTTACTTAAAGAATAGAAGCAATGAATTGTTTGGTTAAATGCTTCGGAATAATCACAAAAACCTTTTCCTCTCCGATATCGCTGATAAAATATATGGTTTCGTCAATACTGCGCTGTCCAGCCATACAAGACGAAAATTTTGAATAATGCCAATTTTTCTCCCATCGGTCTACATTGTGTATTGAATGCGAAAAATAGTTTCGAGAATATATTTTGTTTCGTTTATTTATATTTGATTGCTAACAAAGCGAATTTTTGCAACTGATATATATGAAAAGTGCGTATAGTCACGATAAGACATCAAATGGAGATTTTTTCTTTCCTAGCAAGAAGAGAGACAAACATCATGCTATTTAAAACAACACCTGCGGAGGATTTTTTTCCAGTTTGTTCTACTGGCATTATAAAAGAATGGATGTTTTTTCGCAAAGTATGTAATGATTCTTCTTTGATTTTGTTGATGAGGATTATATACACTTCACCTGCCGGTGGTAGTAAATTCTAAATCTAAATATATGAATACAATTAAATCGACTTGTATATTTTTAAAGATAAACTTTATTTTTTTATACATTTTACCATTAATTAAAAAATTCACACATGCATTCCTGTCAATGGAGTCCTATAGATAACTTTTCAAAAAGCTGTTAGTGCAATCCCTTGTAGAATGAAAAATGTGAAACACGATGTAGCTGCTATAGTCGATGTTCTAAAAGCTCTTGTTTTGTGCATATTGGGTTACATTCGTTCATAATAGTTTACTTTACATTATAGACTTTGAACAGGATAATACTCTATATATGCTCCAATCATATGTTAGTTATGTATCGTTTCTGATATTTCCTGGAAGTCTTCTATCACAATCTATAATGACTCCTGGGCCCTGTCTGTCACGGTTCATGATGGGTCCAAAGTCCTGTCTGTCACGGTCTGTGGGAGGGGAGGGATGGATCCAAATTTCTGCCCCTAAACACTTCAACACCCCTTTCAGATCGTGTTTCACAAAACAACTAAGAATTTCTTTTCAGACGAAAAATGTATTTTCAAAGCACTTGTTTGAAACATGTTTCAAAGTTTTTTCTTTCGTTATTTTCTATAGTTAATCGTTGTTGATTAAGATTAAGAATTTAACATATTATCATCACAATCTATTGTGTCTTACTGCATATTTTAACTTCCTCTTATACATAGAATGTGAAATAAACGTCGATTATTGTGCAATAATTGTTTTATTGAAATCATCGTCTGCGTTTTAGTCACTTTCTCACTCTGTCGTTCTGCAGAGAATATGTTATTTCATTGTATGTGTGATATAGTCGCTTTAGAAATTCAATTTTATGCACAGTTGAAAAAAATATGACCTATAAAACAGATATTATGCGAGCGAAGTTCAATTCGTTTTTTGTGTGATAAACATTTTCTGCCTTTTTCTTACTGTGACATCTTCTCCCATTTTGATGTGAACGACGGCGATGGAGCGAGTGTGTCAATAGGAAAAATTGGTTGAAAAAAAAACATTCGACGACTATTATTGTAGTGAACATACGTCAATGTCATACTTTTTTTTGTTCAGAATTTATCTATTCCGTTCCATAATGACGAAAGCGGTTATAAGCCAACAATAAACATATATATTTCGTTATGACTAGTGACATAGTCAAAATAAATATGAATCGATCTTATGTTCATCTTTTGGACTTTTCCGATGAGATATTACTCATCATTTTGAAGAAACTCAACAATATTGATGTTCTTTATTCATTATGGAACATTAATAATGAACGTCTTAGCATTCTAGTACAAGAAAAAATCTTTAGTAACATACTTGATTTTGCATCTATTGATAAGATTTCTTCAACTGATCGCTTCAAACTAGATCGTTTTTGCACCGATATATTGCCCGAAATTCATAACAATGTGAAATATTTTATTCTTAAACCAGTTTTAATGGAATGCATTCTTCTTGCTACCGACTATCCAAATCTAACTAAACTCAAACTTTTGAATTTCAAAAAAGAAGTCATTTTGCATTATTTTACAAGTAAATAGAGTAACAAAAGAAGAATGATATTAAATGAAACTGACTGAAAAAGACATTTCATTTTTTTTATTCAGATGAATCACTTCTTCAATATATCTTTCAACAACAAATTACAGATCTTATTCTTGTAAATCATGACACAAGGAATATCATAGAATCGACAAAAAATTATACTGTAAATGTGTATTCACATATCTTGAATTTCTGTAAAAATTTAGAACAGTTGAATATTGTTGAAACATTCAATATGTCATATCCAAGCGTGATACTCTCTGATTTACCATCAACTACGTTCTCTTCTTCAACTCTTACTCAATTATGTATCGATGTGTGTGGTTTAGACGATTGTCTTTATTTACTCGATGGTCGACTCAAACGATTGACTACACTTATTGTTCGGATACGTTACATAGATGACTTTCTAACAATCGTTGATAATATGGTAGGTTTTAATAAATAGTGTTGACCATAAGATTAGTCTTCATTGAGAAGGAATTTTTTGTTACTTGAAATATGAATCTGATGATAAGATAAAGTTATTAATAACGTGCGCGATTTAGTTTTCTGGCCTAATTACAAAGTATTTCTTTTTATTTTGTAGGATAATTTACCTAATCTGAAATGTTTTTCATTAAAATGTTATATGAAATTTAAGTCATATGATAATACAATTCTACCTCTTCGTCGTCGTATGTCATGTCTGGAAAAAATAACTTTATATCTTCGTATAGAAGATCGAGATAGATTCATCGATGGTAATTATCTTGAAAATGAAATTCTTGTTAATATGTCGCAACTTCATTCATTCACTTTTTATATATGTACTTATATCAAATCTATTGGTTTAGTACATAATTTATCTAGTGAAGATATTCAACAAACATTTATAAATATTGAACAACACAATGTAGCTAGTATCGTCCATTATATTGAACCCGAACAAATTGTGTGTTCGATCTTCTCAATTCCTTTTACATTTGATCGTCTTGAAGATATTGGTAATATATTTCCAAATATTATATTTAGTAATGTTACATATTTGTTGGTACAAGATGTGGTTCCATTCAATCTTGAATTCTTTATTCGAGTTGCTCGAGCTTTTCCATTGCTAAAGACTTTTCGCATTTTCAGTTTTGACTCACGACTATTATGTGATCTTGATAGTAGTCAATCAGATGAAATTGCTGAATATCGTTATCTTATCTATCTGGACATGTTATGTGCAAATATTAATTCTCTTGAGCAATTTTTAAATCAAGAAAAGACATATGTACCATGTCTAACCAAATTAAAAGTCGTTCATAATAACTTAAGAATTGTAACAAATAATTTCACAAGAGAAGAAACACGACGTAATTGTGCTAAGATAAAACGACTAATTCTAATGATACCGTTGGTACATTCAAAAGATTTCTATCTTTATTTTCCTTTGTTATAAATGTAATTTTATTTTGATTTGTTCAATAAAACTAAAAGCAAAACAAAACTTATATTTTGGACAGGAATATTAATATGATTTATTTCATAAACAGTCCTAATCACTCTGTGTACCTCAATTTTTGAATGTTGAGATTCTCTTCAATAAAGTACTAGTTAACATTTAGTAAACTATTTTGTCTAACCAAATCTTTCAAAATTTCCACGGAACTGAAATTTTTTATGCCAAAGAATTTGCTCTTAGGAAAAAAAGGCGATTTTGGGACAGAAATTTACCCAATTTTGAATATTATTCTATAGCTTTTTTATGAAAACAGTCTTACTGAAACGTCAGATTTGGACTATATATGTCTAACTTTTCAAGCTCTAGTTACAGGCAACATCAAACATAAAGAGAAAGTTGTGGAAAAGGTTAAAAAACACGAGATATGGTCAAGATTATTCTTTTTCCACAACATTTGTCTATATGTATTTTAAATATTTCTATGGAAAAGAAGACAGCTAATTATTTATTTGAATCTGATTTTCATCTTGAATATCTCAGTATTACTGGTCATTTTCTATATTTATGATAAATATGAAATTAAGATATGTACATTATTAACACATCTTTCGATTGAAGCCGAAGGAATACATCAAATCTTTACACATATTGAACATTTACCTAGTCTTGATCAGTTAAAAATTATCTAAATTCATTGATATCTCTTCTGTAATTTAATCATTTCATTTGTAAGGTAAATACTGAAATGAAAAATGTATAGTTCAACCAACATCCAATATCGAATGTGCAGCACCTACCAACATACTAAGTCGTATTACTTTTACAGGTTCCACAAGATATTTTAATCATCTAGAAAATTTCTTTACTACATTTGGGTTAACAATTAAATATTTATCTAGTAATATTGATTCGCACTGGAATGATATTTATGCTCATCAACATACGATTTTTACATTACAAAATAAATCTGATCGAGTAAAAGATTGTTTTAATCGAATCAAATTTATGATCATCACTTCTTCTTTTTTTCAAACACCTTTCGTATGACTTTGTTTCATCTTATATATCAAATCAACCAGTTTTTCTATATTTTGTATGTGTTCGTGCACTCTTACCCACGAAGAACGTATCATTAATCCTTTTTTCCTATGCCAAGCGGTGTCTATTATCATTCCTTCAACTAAATATTCTCGTACTTTACTTTCATCCTCTTGAACATCAATTAGTGAACTAATATGTTCATCTTCATTCAATCAATTTCAATAGTGGATGATAAGATTTT